ATATATATATATATATATACCCTGATAGCCAAATGAATTCAAGATGTTATGTTACTGTCAGTCGTAGTAGTCGACAAACTAGGGACAAGATGCTTCCTCAGTATGTGTAAAATGTTGCCCTCACGAATTCTAAATTTGATAATAACAAGTTGATAGCATCTCAATGGCATGTAAAATATACGTGCCATCAATTTGCCATTATGTTGCTGGTACGATAGTATATATGAAATGCGAGCTCATCACGTGCCGTCATTTTGCCATCAACATAACGCATTATTAATTCTCAACGTTTGCTCTTGAAATTTATAAACTAGTGATGTCAATTCCCCCCATGTTGCTAACTCAGTTTGCACATAAGAGTCCTACATCAGTAATTGCCGCAATTTCACAACACTCGTGCAGTACATTAGTTTGTCTAATATGCTAAATCACGCTTGGTTATCTGGGTATATTTTAATTCTTGAAGTAATAATAAACGTGTGTGCACATGCGTGCGCGTGTGCGTGTGTGAATATAAATATGTAAAAAATGCATTAAAGACATTATTATTATCATTGTTATTATTATTATTATTATTATTATTATTATTATTATTATTGGTATTACTATCATATTTTGTATAATGCGCCTCCCCATCCCCCTTGAAAAAATCCTGCTAACGCCCATGTCCTTAATTCTTCATTATTCACATAGAACATCTTATGAATTCTCTAAATAGTAAAAATATATGAATGCTATTTATATACATATTATATACATATTATATTTAGATAAAATTCATTTTACAATGAAAAACAGTTTTCTTTATTTATTTTTATCTTTAAAGGATTTGTAGAATATTATTAATCTGACATAACAATGCACCTTATTGTGGTTTATTGTATATATTTCATTAAATTTTACTCTATTAATTACATCACACTTATTATATTAGTATTTATTAGTTACAAATTTAGCCGCATTGTATACTAAGGAAGGCCTGAAACAGGATCGAAAATTTATATTATTAATTATTATCCCTTTGATGAAGTTTGAGAGATGTATTTATTGTTAATAAACTGAATTACATGCTACCATCTGGCTCCTATTGGCAATTTTAATTTTTATTAAATTTATTCTATATTTAGAGTATTATTATTATCTCTATTATTATTATTATCAATTTATTTCATTGTAAATTATCAAAGAGAATAATAAAAATTGCAATATATTACCTATTCTTTCTAGGCCAGCACTGCTAGTGTATAAAAATCTGTAATTTATGTTATATATACTATAGATTTTTAATACTGGTAAAATATATATTCGAACAATTAGTTATTTAAATTCATTTTTTTCTCCAATTATGAAGAGATAAGAAGAAAAAATGAATTGCGGAAAAGTTTTGCTAAAAAAATAGCCCTATAATATTGGAGCGTCACCTCACGCAAGTAATTATTATACGTTAAAAAAAAACACGGTAATGTGGAATTAAATGCTTTCTCCGTGATATTTCTAATAAAGATTTTGATAGGAGAAATCCAACGTTTAAATATATCTAATCTGCTTCTTTAATAATTAGTAATTTGGCTTATTTAAATTGCAGATGGCAGCGAGTGCACTCGAAGAGAAGATTAACAAGATAAGGCAACAAAATGAAGAAATTAGGAGGAGGTACGAGGTAAGAATTGAGCGATGAATAATTGTTCTATATATAGAAAATAATGGACTTCGTTGTGTAGGAAGTGGAGGAAGATAAGAAAAAGGCGGCTAAATTGAATGCGCTGGTGCAAATGGTACCATCTACAGATTGGCCGGAGAGGAAGGAGCCACCAGAATTTTCTAATCCACCTAGAACAAGTAATAAACCAAAATCTGTCAAAGAACACCATGAACATTCTCAGTCAACAAATGGTGAAGGACGAAAAATTCATACCTTTGCTCAGGTGCATAAAAATTAAGAGGAATAAGATATATTATAAGAGGAATAAGATCTTGATTCGATAATATTTTAATTTAACAAAAATAAGCGAAGAAAGTCATATTTGCTCAAAGTAGATGTTGGTGTTTAATAATATTTTTGCGTGAATCGATTCCAGTTCAACAAATGATGATGGCATGAAATATAGGAAGATCTAGGTTTGAATTTTGGTTGGGATGATATTTTTTTGCAATAAATTCTTTGCAGCTTGTTAAAATGCATTAGTATCAGTAGTATTAAATTGTTTAGCAATTTAATTTGTAATCTTACATATTCTAGCTTCAGTTTAGGATTGTATTTTAAAACTGATAAGTATCAAATAATCGGCACATAATTTACTTGAACTGGATGTAAGATTTACGCAAAAATATTATTAAGCATCAATATTTGCTTTGATCAAATTTTCTTCATTTACTTATGTTGAACATTTTTCGATTGATGATCATTTATTATTATTTTAATTTAATTTAATGAGATCTTTTTTGTTTGATTGCTCTTGTTAAAAGCTTAGATTTTTTTGAAATTTTGATATTGAATATATTGAAATTCTCATCAATGTTTTAATTTTTAGGGACAAGGGCCTCCACCTGATCCTAAATATAACTTTCTTGCTGATGCTGAGAGAGAGGAAGGTGAAAAAGAGAGTACGAAGGATAACTCAAATAAAGGACAAAAATATTCAAGAGGCATATTTAAGAAAAAACCAGGAGGAAAAGATGCAATGCAAAGAGTACGTAAAATTTAAAACGAAATATCCTAAATATGCCTAGATTTTGTTTTTTAAGTGAGTTATTTCTTAAAAAGGATTGCAGAACGAATAGAGGATCACACAGGGATGAGCATCAGCCAGAATACGAAGCTTGGAGAGCTGAGAGAAATCGTATCGATGAGGATCGCATTAGCAGACAGAGAACTGCAGAGGGTAATTGGCGTAGAGAATGGGATAATAACAAGGTGAGAACTTCATAAAAGAGGAAATGCGTTGTCATATGATTGGTATAGATACGATAGATCACATAAATACAATTGCAGGCGCACATTGTGGATGAAATGGCGAGAACTGAAACTAAATTAGGGGATAATATAAAAAAGGACTTCAAAGATTTTGATAAAAGATATCATGTTAATGGTAAGAACTAATAGATCTTATATATTATATAAATAAGAACCAAGGGAATTTCGAATTATGTTTTCATCTGATATATGTGTATATAATTGCTTATTTTGTAGGAAATGATCATGTAAGCTATAATCGCGGTAGTCATCGTTCCTATCGGGGAAATTCGAGACATTTTCATAATAATTATGAAAATAATTCTAACAGCACGCATCATCAGGTTGGGCATATTAAAAATCCTTCTGGTTCCGAAAAGAGAACTGTTGTTGCTACCGACAAAAGCATAAAAATTACGTTAAATCAAGGAAATATGGCAAAAGGTCCAGTCATGAGTGTCAAAGGTATATTATAAACTACATGTTCCTGAATATAAAAGGTATTTGAAATACTTTTTCACTACTATAATTAATAATTTCAGTAAATTCACCAAGTATTGCTGGAACAGGACGAGTCGGCCCGCGACAAAGAAGTCGCCTAACATACAGCAGTCATTCGGATATTGAAATAACTTCCCCTGATACTGAATCCTTTTCACGTCCAAAGTCGTATGAAGATAGACCTAAAGGTATCTATTATGAAAATTTGCACAAATCCTCGAATTCTCGAAAGCCACAACTTTCACCAAAGAAAAAGGACTTCAGTAATAAATCTCCTTACTTTCGTAAGAAGGAAATTAGAAGAGAAGATGATAGTCTTCAGAAATATCATGAAATAGAATCACCTCGGAAAGACTATAAAGAATTACAAAAGTTTTGTCAATCTAAATTTCAAAAGCATGAGGAAAACACTGCAAAGCCATTACAAGATATAACGACAATAGATGAAAAAGAAAGCAATATAATTTTTTCTAGAGAATCTGATATGAATAATATAGAAATAAATAATATGGATAATCAGAATTATGGCAATTTAAACTCACACATAAATGAAGGACGTGAAGGTTATACAGCCAAGGAAGATAAAGCTGATTTACAAAACTTAGATTTACCTGCGTTTGAGATTGATACAGAGATTGAAACATGTGAAAAAAATGGAAAGAGGGAAGATAAATTGGATGAGATGCAAAATGTTCAAGTAATTGTGACATTCGAATGTGAAAATACTAAAACAAAGTTAGCTATATCGTCACTAGAAAATAATAATGATGAAAATGAAATTCAATATGTGGAAAACTCGTCATGTGATGCTAATAATACTAAGGAACCTATAATGAAAGATAAAGATTCAGAACGAACTAAAGAAATCTTAAAAGATAACTGTGATACTAAACAAATTAAAGATATGAATGAGCAAGAAAACGGCACCAAACACGATGCAGAAAGTTCTCTAGAAGAAAGAGAAGTAAACAGTATTATCATTTTATCTTCAACTGATATTGATTATACAGAAAAACAGAGTGATAAATTAAAAAGTGACGACAAAACCTCAAAGGGAAAAGTAATTTTAGCCATAGAAGATGAAGTTGCCACAGATGAAAAAATTAACACTGGTTATAAACAGGATACAACAAAATGTATTAATGAAACTCAAAAATGCACAGATAATAAAGAAAAAGAGAATACTGTTGCAAATAGCATTGTAGTTGATAAGATAGAATCTTTAAAAGAAAATTTACACATAGAAGAAAAGGCAACTTCAAATGACCAAAATTGAAAGATAATAAAGAGAAATACGAAATAAAAAAAGTACGAAATGTTACAATATAACTGTAAGT